TACTAGTAACAAAGGCTTCTAGGTTGGAGGCCATCGCTAGTAGGTTGGAGGCCATGACTACTAGTAGCAAAAGCTACTACTAGTAGTAACAAGTTGGGGTAAGATAGGATCCAGAACTACCCAACCTCTCAACTTCCCCGTTCCTCAGCTGAGCCACGCGGGTGGCCCCGGGGAGTCATCCGAGTGAGCCAAGCGTCCCAGCCTCGGGAAAACAGCAACTCCGTCTGAATCGAGCAATGCGACACCCAACCAGTTAAGCGTGCTTATACAGTAACTTATACTCTCTGGAAGATCAGTGGTTATACTGCACTCCCAGTGTTACTCCATGATTGGTTATACTCCCTGAAACAATCATGGAAGTGGAGTGAACACTGTGAAAAACCAGGCATGTAGGGGATTTCATGGTCTTTCAAGGGGAGACGTGCACCAAAAACTATGATTCTTCGTTGCAGGCAGGGTAAGCGCTTTGACCGAAAAGCGGCGCTTTTTTCGAAAGAACAGAACCTGGCATTTTTCAGCCACGCCACGTTTCGAGCGACAAACCCTTCAAAGCAGAAGTGGAGCCAACAAAGCGACAAGCTAAGCTTGTGAAATTTGGTGCGAAAGCATCATAAAGATCATAAAGGCATTGGTTGCATCAACATCGGACCCCAGGCCAAAAACGGCACATCATGCCCCTCACAACCATGTATGGAGTTTTGGGTATCCATGAGAATTACCAAATGAAGGTAAAGGGTTTTCCCGCACATTATTCTTTTGGGTTGTATCACTTATATCCCCATGTCCATCCATTCTTAACACAATAGAAGATCTATAGATTAGCTTCAATCTCCGTCTCCGTACTACTAACAATTGACCCCCGGTTCGCTGCCCTTCCCCATGCAGGATCCGTCTTTACCCTGGCGTCCCCCGCCCCTGCATTGGCCGAAACAGCAAGAACTGGGCGCGGCGAGGGTGAAGAATCCACACCGACACGGCTCTTCTTTTTTTTTCCGGTGCCATGTATGGAACATTCACTTTTATACGTACATTGGGGATCATTGGGGTGGTTTCAAAGGACAACGTAAGGCATATGTTCCATACATGGGGAGTATCCGTGTGGGAATCTTGCACTAGTCCAGTTGTCTACTGAAAAAGGCTCAGTGCGGGTGGGCGGCTTGGAAGTATCATTATGTTGACCTTTATCACTTTCCAAGCGTTCCCACGGGCGGAATACAGTTCTGGTGGCTTGACAAGAACTGGTGGTTGCCATCTAGGTGTGAACAGTTTTCCGACTTTGAGTCTTTGGTGAGACCATCATTGTCCCTTTTGCCACACGGTCAGCGTGCCTAGCGTATGACACTATCCAAAAGCAGGTTAAATACTTGGTTCTCACTTGCGGATCGGTTTGACCTCTGAACCAAGGATTTGGGTCCGATCCCTTCATATGAGGCTCCAGGGTGGCGTCTGGGTGTTCACGTATTTTGGCAAAAACCTAACAAAGCTTGCAGATGTGCACCACCACTGATTTGAGCCAACAGTCTTGACAAGGGTGTATTGTACACCGTAGTATTCTTCCGTGACAGCTACTAGAGCGAATCAGTGAACAATCAACTGCTGCGAATCTCGTATAACACCGGAATACAGGCTGCAACCTGCAACCATCCTGAAACAACCACGATTGTCTGACGGTCCCCAGCTTTCGTAGAATTTAAAGGTTCACCACTTTTTGCCTCTTCATGTGTAGTAGGGCAACCAATTACCCAAAACGATACAAAACGTAGGCAACCGATGAATAGTGATCATCACCATCACCCCCCCCATTTGGGGATGCGGTCAAGCAACCGTCGCGGTATGTCGCGGCTGAAACTTTGAGCCGGGGAAGGGTCTGAGGAAGCGGAATAGTCCGGTGGCCGATCAACGCCGAACATGGAAATCACGGAAAGAACCACAGAAGGATGTCCCAGGATGTTTCAGAGTGTAGAAACCATGTAGAAACACTGCAACTATATCCAGCTGAGGACGCAATGGTGGGAAGAATGACTTAGTTGCGAAACAATAAACACATTGAACCCGTAGGTCAACAGAGTTTCAAAGCAAACATGTCCAGGGCCCCGCCGTTGGGTGCATATAGCCCCCCCCGGAAAGAAAGGTGCTTCGGGGTGTCCGCACCCCGACTGTGGGTCCCGGTTTAACCGTGGGACTCTCTGCCTTCAGGCAGCCTGAGAACGGCCGCGTCGCCGTTGGTGCCCGGAGGACCCGGAGGACCTCTGGCTCTCTCTTGGATTGGCGCTTCATAACGCTGAAGGAGCTGGGAAAAAAAGAAGCAACTCATTCACCAGGTGAGGGGATTGACCAGCAGGCCGTTGCTGGTGCCATACGACCCGCACAGTTCCCAAAGGTTGTCCATCAACGACCAGCAGTCAGCATGGGGTGGCATCAACGACCAGCCCAAACGCTCCATGAGACTGTGAGACTGCAGGGCCGATTGTTTTTCATAGAACGCATTAGACATATTCTAGACCTTTTGTTGCCTACATGCAGCGTTTGGAGAAAGGGTATCCACTGCTTCAAGCAACTTTGATGTTCAAACATACGCCTCCGAAACAGAACCTCGCATTGGCACGTTCAACAGTCCTCCAAAGTCTTCCTCCCTGAGTTGGTGTCATGCTTGCATTTAAGAACGGAGGGCCACCCCAGAAGGAACAAAGGCAGGTTGAATCATCTTGTGGGTCAAAACCGGGGCGACCCTGGTTGCCAAAATTTTCATGGCTCGGGACACCATGATTCGTTTTGCCCGCATCCTTGCGGGTGTATCTACAGCCCGTTTGCAAGCATGGACTTTCACTTTGGACAGCGCTGAGGCTTAATTCGGGGTTCACATGTGAAATCATATGTGTGGAGGATACTAGGCAGAATGCCTGGTATGCCAGACGAGACTCGCTCGCCGCGTCAGGAAGAACAGAATAGACTGCTACATGACGGTCTGGGTGCGACCCACAAAGGTCAGCTCTTGGCTTGGCCGTTTCGAAGCGAAGACCGGAGCCCGGTGTCGTTTCGAACCATCGGACCACACCGGTCTGCTAGCATTCCGACTCCAATCGGGCGTGCAGGTCCCGAAGAGAACGAACTGTTCCGTTTGGGCGGGGCCACTCTCCATGGCATCACCCAATCCATCCAGCTACCCCGCAGCTGCTCTTTTTCTCAAAGCAACCCTTTCACCTGGGCTGTGCAGTTTGCAGTTCGCAAAACCGGATGTTCTGCCAAACTGTTCGACTCAGATGGCAATTCGATGACTCGTTTTTTCCAAACTGTGTGGGCAAAGGGCCTGATGATCGGCCTGATGCTATCGATGCTACCACAATTCCACGTCTACGTTCATGTGCTTTTTCGTAAGGTAACATGTTTCCTGCTTAGGCTTAGCCCAGCCAGGCACCCTCAGGACGGGGCCATGGCAGCAAGTTCTTGCGAAACTTGGAGGGCCATTTCCTGACGACGAAACCACGAATGGCTGGTTGGTGGTGGGTGGTTTCAACTCACGAACGAAACATATGAGGACCTGTGGGTGAAGAATCATCCACAAGATTCCCCAAGTAAAGGTTGAACATAAAGAATCTGTGAAAACCACCAGTCAATTGGCTGATGCTGGCCACTGAAGATTAAACATGTCGCGTGAAAGGAACATGTGGTGATGTCGCTGTGCTGCCGAGTTCCTTATTTGGGTGTGTTCTGGTTCTGTTCCATCTACATTCATCATCATCCATCTACTCCATTTGGATATGTAATGTAGACGCTTGATTAATAACCCCCCCATATGAAGAGCATTTCTGGAGAGGGTTTATTCATCAAGAGTCTACATTACCGGCATTTGCAAAACAAAAACCGGCACGGTCTCGGCGGTTCTCATCGACTGCAAGACGCCACGCACCAACAAAAAAGCGCGGCACTCATGATCAAAGCACCAAACCACCTCACTCGCTGGCGACAGTGGGTGTGTCTCGAAATTCGGACACACGCGAATCTGCCACACCTCCCCAATCTGAATTGGAACGTTCCTTTGACCCTCCAGAGGCCCCAGCCCCAGGCTTGGCCCAGGCCGCCCCTGTCACCAAGGAACCCCACCCACTGAGAGCTGTCACTGCAGGCAGTCACCGCCTCCTGATGTTTGACCAGTGTCGACGGGTGATTTCGAAACCTTTGGAAGAACTTGAGTGGATTCAACTACCAGCAGTCACAAAGGGGTGCGATCCATGGAGGTTAGGGGTGCCCAGAACATCCACTCACTGGATGGGACTAAACACACCCCGTCTTGTGACTGCTGGTACTCCAGTCTTTAAGAGTATGTGTCTACCGAATTAGAGCCCATTTGACCTGTTTTGATAGGAAAAACACATATTTTGGGTGGTTGGTGATCCAAAATAGAGGTCATTCAGGTTCTAGGTATATATAAATCAAAGACCTTCAGTGACCGGACAGACCAGGACAAAGACCGTAGCCCCCATAGTGACCTGAGCTCCACGAGCTTGATACCGAGGTTCATGCGCTACAGTTGCAAGTGGGTTGTGTTGTCAAGGGTTCTGCGATTGCATTCTGACCAATAGCTTCCAGAAACGTTTTTGGAAGAACTTGTCCACCCAGGACCTGTAGTCTGGGATCCACATGGCATTTCCTGCTGCTACCAACGGTCTGAGTTCTATATTTCCTGCACGCCAGCCACTTCGATGTTGGAACAACCAAACCTGTTTAGGATCTCTTTTTGTTTCCATTGAGTCATACGGTGTTGTAAAAGACCTCAAGCAAACCATGTTGGAACGACAAGAAATGTTTAGGATGTCTATATTGTTTCTTTGGGTCATGTTGTGATATATAGATATATATATATATTTCAAGCAAACCATGTTGGAACAACTAAACCTGTTTCGGATCACTATATTTGTTCATTGGATCATAATGTAAAGAGATCTCAAGCAAACCCCATTGGAGCAGCCAGAATTGTTCAGGACCTCTATGCTTTTCTAACGGGTCATATTGTAAAAACTATCCAGCAAACCATACTGGAATACTGGAACAAAAAGAACATGACTGTTTAGGAGCTCTATATGCTTCCATTGGGTCATATTGTAAACATTATCAAGCAAACCATACTGGAACGACCAGAACTGTTTGGGATCTCTATATTTTCCATTGGGTCATATAGTAAAAGTTCTCAAGCAAACCATACTGGAACACCCAGAACTGTTTGGGATCTCTATATGTTTTCATTGGGTCATAGTGTAAAAGTTCTCAAGCAAACCATACTGGAGCAATCAGAACTGTTTAGGATCCGTATATTTTCCATTGGGTAATGTTGTAAAAGACCTCAAGCAAGCCATGTTGGAACAACCAGAACTGTTTGGGATCTCTCTCTCTATCTATCTATATATATATATATTACCCTTGGGTCATCTTGTACCAGGATTATTCCGCAAGCCCACTAATCTAGAATCTAAGCTCATTGTGAATGTAAGTGAGTCCATGCCAGGTGCATCATCTGAGGACTGCACTCTGCTTTTTTTCCACACGGTGGCTTGATGCGCTGCTATGTTCAGGGTCCCTCTTTGGAAAAAGGACTCGATCACCTGGCGAAACCGGCGGAGCTCGGCGCATTCGTGTGCGCATCACCGGCGCCTGGAGCTCTGCGACCGTCACAGGAAGAGACTTCGAGCCTCGCCGGAGAGGAGGTGGAGCGTTCGGAGGATCATCGACGAGATGAAAGAAGCGACAACACCACCTGATCCTGGTGGAGGTTTCATGCCAACTTGGGGACAACACCACCAGATCTTCAGAAACTCGACCCAACTTGGATGCGACCTACTGTGAGAAACATGTGATATGGGTCACTTGAGAAAATTATACTGCACCCCAAACAGAAAGACAGACTTGAGGCAATTCAGAGAAACAAAACAAGGTGCATCGTTGAAATGCTGAATGGGGATGTTGACATCTCTTGGTTGTGCGCAAGTGTACCCAGACTCACATCCAGGGGACTGGAATATATGCCACCCTATTGACCCCTGAAACCAACTACCCCAATCTAGGTATGAATAGGTCAGTCGCATGAATGGTCACAGGTATATGGCTGTGGGTCCAAACCCATATGCCTGGGTTGACCAGCAAATGCGCAGAATGGACACGGAATTTAAACATGCAGAAGCCAACCGTGGTTTTTGATCCACAGCCACACTCCACGGGACTGGCATATACATTGAGGGGGCTTCCTGGCCGGTATACACCCCCCGCAAACTCACATGGAAGAGAAGGAAAACCGGTGGTTTTAACCATTTTCCAGTAAACCCCGAATTCGGCCCAGGGGTTCGGCCCAATCGCAGGGATAAAAACATTGGGGCCGGGCACACAAAAGGTACTACAAAAGGTATTATGTTACTATGCTTTATTAAGCATGTGACAATAAAAACGCTGCTAGGGTAAGCTGCGGAATTGAACTTGAGGGAGGAGGAGGTGAACGAAAGGTAGCAGGCAATCACAAGTAACCCTGGTACTGTAGAAGTCCACGACGGCGTCAAAGGTGGATGGATGTGACCTAAACAGCGACGGCACAGGGGGGAATGATCCAGGGGGGAGGCCACCCTCCCAGTCGAACAGAATCACTTCTTACAGGACCAAACTCTAGGCACAACACCAAGTCCTGATTGTAATATATTGTAATACATTTTTGCTAAAGCAAGGAGAACTCAGGTAGCCTGAGGCTACCTTTTGTGATTTACCAAGTCCAATTGGTTGGTGGCAGGTGTGGCACGGTCAATGAACCACCCACCACGGTCACACGATCTCCCAGTGTAGGATGTAACCCTGAAAGAGAGTTACCAGACCAAAGGGTGGCAAGAGTTTGTGTTGGAATTTCAAGGAGCGCAACCTTTTGTTTGGCCAGTGCATACGGTGCATACCTGTGTGACTTGGAGTCTCTGAGCTTCCCAAGCGAAGTCGCTCCAGTGTCGAGATCGCCTGGCAGGCGAGGACAGGGTTGGCGGAGACCAGCTTGTAGCCCGAAAACAAGTTGGCCACCAAGACCAACACTTTGGTATATCATTATATAGATACCTGGGCCCCCCATTTCGTATGTTAGAAAATGGGAATAGATAGGACTGTAGCCATTTTCCGAGGTAGGTAGCTGAGATTCCAGGATTCCAGGTCTAAAACACTACAAACCTGGTTTTAGGTGATTGACCTTTGGATACAACCGACCTCCGTCACGGAGGTGGACTCCTGATCTGGGAACCGATCCGGAACCGAAGTGGTGAGTTGTCAGGTTGTCCCAGCACCGGTTGCACGTGGGGTTTAGATGCTTCAAAAAGCTGCACCGTTTGAGTCTCAAAGTAAGTACTTACCTCGGAACAGTGGTACCTGGTTCGGGCCGTGTTTTTGGTTCGGGCCATGTCCCATTTTCGAAGGTACTGGAACGAACGACGACGGGTCTGGTATATATATATATAGAAAGCACGTCCGTACAAGCACTCTGTTGCAAACGTCATACAAAGCATTCCGACAGCCACCAAACGATCTAGAGAACACGATGCATAGAGGATTCAACCACATGGAAAAGTTAAAGAATTATAATAGTGGATGCAAATGGAGTAGATGGCACAATCCCCAAGTTTGGTAGTTTATGTGGAACCCCATCTGTTCAAGACATCTTGGGGCGGTTTTGTGCCATTAAACCTCTGCAACCGTTAAATGAAAGCCCACCCCAAGCAAAACCCACTAATCAGACTCAGTATTTTTAGATCTTTTAGTATCATGTTGATCCATCAGATATTCCATGTTATTCCTATTGCATTATATATATACAGCTTTGTATAACGTTCCGAACCGCTTCGGCCCGCAATCCCGTACCTCCTGCCAGGACGCTGTGATGCGGCAAAGTCTTCGAAAGGCCTCGTGTCGCCAAAGCGCTTCGCCCAAGCTTCGTCGGAGCACACCGGGGAAGGCAGTGCACACGGATTCTTTTAGTAGCACTTCTTCTTCTTCTTCTATAATCAAAGTGAACCATGTGTGAAACTCCATTATACATGGATTCCAAAGGTTTGGATGTCAAAGATAATCAAAGTGAACCATGTGTGAAACTCCATTATACATGGATTCCAAAGGTTTGGATGTCAAAGTCACCGCTTTTCGAAAACAGTTGTGGGCCCCAGCCCATCAAGTGGTCATCATGGCAGTCCTCAGGTATGCTATGTGATGCTCTGTGCACCGTGCACTGCTTGAGTCGAAATGCCGACTTCAGTTTCCCTGGAAAGGTTACCCTTAGTCCACCTGTCGGATGTCTGTGGGGCGTCACCAATCTCCTCCAACCCCCCCCAAAATGCTTTTGGCGGTCCATCTTCCCAAAGGAAGAAACGAGTTTTTGTTCGAACCTGCGGTTTTTCACTGGGACACCGGTCCAAATCCAGAAATTGTGGTCTTTTTATGTCTTTTAAGTGATTCAGTTTTCAAGTACTTGAGGCCAGAGGGGGTGAACGAAAGCTAGCCGGGCTTCCGGTGGTCTGCTGCTGGTGCTGCTGCTGCTGGTGCTGAGTTCACGCCCCCAGATCATGGATCCAAGCTGGTTCATTCCTTCCGAAACGAGTCGCTGCCGTTCGCCGCGCACGGGCCACGCGAATGGCTTGACCTAGGCAGACGTCGGAGGCAACTGGCAAGGACTGCCGCAGCAACTGATGAGGTGTTGAATTTCAGTCCAGGATGTTAAAAGATAGCCTTTTACAAGTTCTCGCAACATTTACGTCCATCTTGTGAATTCACGTCCTTTTGAAAGCCTGCACACTATTGATGAGTGTTGTGAAATAGACCAAGTTCAGGGATTACGGTAAAACACGTCCCGGACAACAATGTGTGCGTCCCTGCATACCAAAAGACAACAATTAGCAACATGGACAACAAAAGGTGGTTATAAGGTTTAGCAAATGTTAACACACACAACAAACAACAAAAATTGCCCTCAACACAAAAACATTCCCGCAACAACTGGGCAACTCTCCAAAAACTGGTCCTCAACAACTGTCACTACGCCACTACTTCCGGCTCAAAACATGTCTATAGGGTCTAAGTCTAGACGCAGATTGGTACGAAATATGGATTCGGCTTCCAAAAACGCCTAGCCACGTGCGGGTGCATCGGGGACATAGGGCGAGCGCTCGAAGGCCATGGCCATTTGCATGGCCTGAGCTCTGGTGTTGGAGCGATTAACTTCGGTGGAGCAAGCTGGTGGCAAATTTTAGGGAAGTAAGCTGTGAGGTGTTTCATCTCAAGACATCCAATTTGATGTTGCTAAGAACATCTAAGAACTAAAAATCTCTCCATGTGTCCACCATCTGAACACATGGCTTTCCGCCATCTGAACACATGTCTTCTTTAAAGCCCATTCGCCTTCGCATCGGAACGAATGCGACTGGGACCACTCGACCACTGGAGACGGGAAACCGGCTGAAGCGGCTTCGGTGAGCCAGCCGAAGTCAAGCACCCTTCCGGAAGGACGTCGAAACCAGTCGAAGCCATTTTGAGGTGACTGGTGAAAATCCATAAGCCAGCCGGGTGATAGGAAAAACATAGGACAAAACATGAAAAACCTGTGCATACAGCAGTGGAACTCCATCGCTTGTGGGTGTTTGCTACACTGCTCGCTATATCGCTTTACAGTGTTCCGGATGCTTGTCAATTTTACATAATTTTACATGGATATGGGTAGAGGTGGAGAACAAAGTGAGAGAGAGAGGATTCTATTCACAGAGAGAGAGAGAGAGAGGTTGAGAGAGGATTCTATTCACACAGCAAACCTTCCTTCCCCCTTCAATACCCCAGCGATCCTTTTTCTACCGCTCATCTAGACACCATTTTGATCAACAAGTGGTATCGCTTTGGTACCGCTTCATGTAAAGCGGGAATTGCCAAGCCAAGAAATACAATCATACAGGACCTTTAATTAAATGATGGTATCGCATTTGGCTGCTCACTGTATCGCTTAAGGCTTAATGCTTTACAGGGTTCAGTCATGATTGCTATGCAAAAGTTCCTCTTGTACAAAGAATTGTGACTGGACCCTACTGATTTGTTGCTCATTCCAGCCGGGCGATGGACTCTTTCTTCCCCAAATCGATCGACGTCCAATGGTACTGGGTATTCGCTCTTCTCTCGGGGTCACATACTTGGCCAACACTTTCCCAAAACCAACGAGATCCTTCACGCCATAACCACCTCAGAGTAGTCGCTATAGTCACACTCCCCTCCCCCCAAAAAGAAGGAGGGCGACCTCTGCGATTCGCTCACTTTTGTCTCTCTCGCGCGACCCGCTCGCCTTCTTCCACAGCAGAGGGCGCTTGGCGAAAACGCCCAAGGCGCTGTTGAGGGTTCGCAGCCCCAGGTTTGAACACCTGGATGCGAGCGGAGCGCGGACTTCGCGGATGGCTCTGAGTGAAGCTTCGCTGGGTTTCGCGGATGTTGATGCAGGAGGCACCTGCTGTGGTACCGTGCTTTGAGAGACAAAAACGGTGCAATCTGGTACAATTGAAGTTCCATGCTCAAAGTGCAACTGGTGCTCCACTCTCTTCTCATCCAAGAGCCACCCAATTCCTTTCTTCCATGAATTTGTCTTCACATCCCATTTCTCCATGTGCTTCGTCCTTGTCGCCGACGTACCACCGAGCGAAGAAGCCACCCGGAAGCCTCGCATTAGCTTGGAAGCTGCGGAGCATCTCGCAGGCCTCGTTACCGGCCCACGGCTCCCGACCCACGGATCAGCGGGGTGAAAACTGGGGGAGATTGAAGGGTGGCAGAGCTAGCTACAGGCCCGTCCAATTGGTTTCTGGAACCTAGAGGTCACTAGGTGATACCAAGTGCGTGTATGTTTACAAACATCTTTCATTGGAGAGAGCATGTTTTCAATGTTTCAAAAAAGTCAACAAGCATTATCAACTTAGTAGTCAGTCCCAAAAGTCAAAGTCCAAAAGTCAAATCAGAAAGTTTCAGAAAGTTAAAGTCAATTGGCCCAGATCCGAATTAGGATTCTCTTTTGTTGCTCTCATTTTGATGTGTTTTGACCTTTGTCCGACTTTTATTAGATGTTGATTGACTTTTTGATGTATTTGTGTGTGTTTTATTGTTGTGTTTTTTGTATTTTTTTGTTTTCCTGCTTTTTATTTGACCTGTTCTTAACTTTTTCTAGTTGTGATCTATGTTTGATGTGTGTTGTTTTTTACTTGTATTTGTTACTAGTTTTTTGTGTTTTATTGTTTGTCGACTTTTTTTTACTTTGACTTTTCCATTTGACTGTTTTTCGCCTTTGACTTTTCCATTCGACTTTCTGTTTGACTTGTTTTCGACGTGCTTAAAATCAAGGATTCTGGCCTTACCATATGAAACATTTCTATAAGTGTATGTTTTAGCACTGTGAGGAAACCAGTAGAGTCATCGCCACACATGGCCACGAGAAAACCCATAAACAAAACACTTTATAAACGCTATAAGAAGCTGAAAACCATCAATTAGTGAGGACGAAATCTAATTATATATGGATGTGGATGAGAGGGAACCATCAGTTTCTTAAACACCCTTAAACCGTATATTGACTAAATGGGAAGGGTCAATCAATGCCAAACCTTTCGGGTGATCCTTTTTTCCAATCAGTGGGAGGTCAATCTGACACACCGAGAAACAGGCAGTCCCAGTCCCCCTGTACAAACTCTGGAATCCTTGGGAGAATCATCGCAATAATCAATAAAGTTCTTCCGCGAGGTTCATGCTGCGAGTCACCGACAAGATAAGCCGACAACAAAGATCTGTCACGTGACATACGTAACACCTGGAAATGATTGAAACACTCTTTATACAAACAAACAAAAACATTATATAGAAGCAGCAATCGAAAAAGATTAACAGACTAAAACATACTAAAACAAAGTCCACTTGAGGCTCAACAAAAAGCAATATGTGTAGCCAGTACCTGCTTCGTACCAGAACTGTCCAGCTCACGAGTCGCATGGCTCCGTCTTTTTCGTCGAACACCCCTCCGTCTGAGCTCAGCTCGTACTGCCAGGGCCGGAACTTCAAACAAAAGGCCTCGGCTGAGCACGAAGACAAATGACACACTACCCCATCACTGACATGGCACCATGGTCCTTTATGCATTTTTATGCAATGTACCTTTTTACGCAAACTGGTGTCCTGCAAATTTGACTGAGTGGGAGTGGACGTTTGGGTACAGTCGAAAAAGGACAACGAATTCAATTGGACTTCTTCATTTCAGAAACAAAAAGGAATTAACGCTCAGACTGGTATTCCATGGTCATTCATTCAAAGAAGGATCTGGCCTTCCGTCAAAAACCCACTCTGCTTTCAATGTTCTCCGTTCTCGTTTCTGTGTTGTGTCGCTCCAGTCGGGGACCCTTCTCAGCGCCGGATTACAGGACATCTGATGCAACCAAATGAAATGGGAGAGGAACATTCTCCAATAATCCTGACGTCTCACCAAGATGAGACCTGCGACTCACTGGAAATGGAGTCGGTTTTCATCTGCGATGAACACCCAATGCCACATGCGGTCGCAGGTACCTCTCCCCCACACTCCGGACTTGTCACTGAAATCCACCCAAATGTCAGTCCAGTCCAGTCCCATGGACCTTGGGAAACTAAGAAGCACCTGTTTGCCCGGTCGCCCACAGTCTCCTGGTCGCTCCCGGACGGAGAGAGCTGTGGACAGGGAGGCATCATCGACTTCACAGGCCTGGAGGCGTCATCGGGCGGCTCGGTCGGCTGTTTGGGGTGGAGAGAAACAACACACAGTTGGCGATCCCCGCATGATCATCTAGTCTAGAGATAGTACGGGCTTCTTTTTCATTGTATAGGAAGCAAACAGAGTCAAACACATAAATAGAGCAAGTAAGTCAGCATTGTTTTGAAAGTTGGAGCCACACCTGCAAATTTCAAGAAAGGAGGTTTATGTCGCCCATCACCGAAAATCATTGACTTGTGGAGTGACATTCCGCCCAATTCTTAAATTGCAGTACTAAAACTTCTCTTGGTTCGCAACTGGTGCTCGTCGACTGCGGAAATGACCAAACAGAAGTTCTCAGAAGTTCTTTGCACCTGTTTTGCCTTGGCCTTTGTGGATTTGCTGTTTGCTCAAGGAACCAGGAAACATATTCCCAAGGAGGTTCACCCACAGGGAAAATAAACATCACCTTAAACAAAGCTACATTTCCCTTCAGATCCTTTCAGCTTTCATGTTCGAACAGAAGGGGGTTTTGGAGCACCGACAGTCAGTGATGTCTGGTGCCTGTATCATGCCGCATCATGGCTGCGATTTCAGCTTTCAGGCCTCTTTTGTCTCAAACACCCAAATCATGTGTGTGTGTGTCCTTCTTGCATTTGGATGTATTCATCGAAGTAAATGGAAGTTTCTTCACCAAACTATGTCCATACATGTGGAGGAGCTTTCTAGAGCAAATTGTTTTCCTCCCACCAGGAAAATGATGCCCAAACTTGGCCGTGAAGGACATTTCCACTTTCGTTGTGCGACTTCATCGCTGGACTCCACCAAACGGTCCGATGAACACCTAAAATAGCATGAATGTGCAAAAGATTGGTGACTCTGAACAAATCCGAGCTCCAAAACGGTGCGTTTTGCTTATTACTTTGTGGAAACGCAACTAGTAGTACAAAGCCAGCTGCTAAGCGTTTGTTGAGGAAAATCAAACGTGTTTGTTGTCTTCAGTTCTGGACGTGGCGAGAGATGAGTTCAAGCCCAAACCCTTTTGGAATGCAAAAGCTTGTATATCGTCATTACAGCGCTTCTTTTTGATTGTTCTCCAGAGCTCAAAATTTGTGCTTTGTACTGTGCCTCAAACAAATGATGCAAGCAAATGTATTTCCATCCATGTCGAATATCAAAACCCAAACACGAACACGGAAATGCGTTGCATGTCCTTCAGTATCAAGAATTCTTACCCAACGTATCAACAAAAATACTGTTTGGATGGCATCGTAGACAAAAAAAAGAAGCACCATGTCGGCGTGTTCATTTTGTAGGTGGATATCCAATGATCTAGCTCTAGGTTTAGGACATCTTCAGAGGGGTCTTTAAAACCCAAAAAAAAGTGTTGTTCCACCCAGCCATGGCATTGTTTGCCTGTGTGGCAGCAGATTGAATTGGGCCATCAACATGTGGCCACTTTGTTTGATGGACCCCCGTTGACCAAATAACAACCCATTAGATCACATTATTAGTTGCACGGTCACTACAGTAGTAGGGGTAATCTTGATTAATAACCCTCCCATTGGATTGTAACACCTCTTCATACGGGGTTTTACTAATCAAGAGTCCACATTGAGGTCGAGAACATGTCTTAATTCGCCAACCAAACTTGGACGATCCTCTCACTGAAGATCAACCCTCTTTTGCTTGTTCTCCTGAACTCTACTCACTCAAACTGCATTGTCTGCGCCGCGCATGACAAAACCGTATGCCTCAGTTCTTTGAAGGCTCAGGAAGTAAAGAGTGTAGGACCAGGAAAACCGAGCCTGGGCAGTCTTGCATGTGAACGTCACCCACAGGAGCAAGTAAAGGCAAGGAACAGGGTGTCTTTGGAACCACGAATGTAAACAGGGTTTAGTAAGTCTATAGTCAATTCTTGCTATTTAATCCTAACCATAACCAAACGTGGGGATAATTCAGAAAACAACGGTTGGCCTTTTCCACCTGCTCATTGTTAGTAGGGGTGGGGAAAGTTCAAGATTGAGCATTCGCTGAGTAGGTAGACTGCCGTGAACTTCAGTAGTTCTGGCCCTGCCATATGCTGACTCCTTTAGTTTCCCTAGATAGTTCCCTGGAAAAGGTTCCTAACTTAGATCTAACCGAACTTTCAACCAATGAGCTGGTGTCCCATTCCGGTGATCCACAAACTTCCTGCAAACACATCTCCCACACCCCTGCGGAATGTCCCTTCTCCATCCTGCACTGGGAAGTCTGTCTGACCCTCCTTATCTGTCCACGCTTGGTCTGAGATTTGCTCCCAGGAAGCAGGGAAAACCTCACCCAAGTCTTCCCTATGCCAGGGAAAGTTCACTCATCACCCAGACTCTATAATTGTTAACTCATGCCAGGGGTGTCCCAGAAAATCCATGAAAATCACACAAAAGCTCCCCTAGTCCATGGCCATTTCCAGTGTTTTCAGTCTCCCCGTACGGTCTCCAGGTCTACCGGGCACAGGAGAGGAAGATCTTGTTGAACTCGATGATGCTGGGCCGAAGGAAAGCCCTCCTCGGAAGCTCGAAACCAACGGAGAAAAGCCCCGAAAACTCGCCGGGCGGCTGTTTCCGGAAGACGAACTTATGGAAACCGCTAAAAGGGGCGATTGATACACAAAGGTGTGAGCGTATGTCTTCATCTTATTGAACTAACCTCTGTCAAAAAATAGACCTTTCTGTTCTAGGGGGTTGTTGTTCAACTATCTTGTTCCCCTATCTGGTCTGCATTCATGGAGCAACAAAATCATTACTTGGTTTGTCCAGACAATCCCCATCATACCAGTCATTCAGGTAACTTACACAATGTCGACGTAGGATTAATCACACCCCTTCAAGGTCAACAAGATCCCCTAATAATGAAGGGGATTATTTGGTTGATGGGATTCTGTGTGAACAATGAGTGTTTGAACCATGAGAACCACGAGAGCTTAGCACATTGGCACAAGCTTGACGAGAGATCAAAGCCATGCCAATTGGGAGCTTGCATCTGAGAGCATGGAGGAGGAATGGGCAATGGAGGCTCTACGTGGTGAGGGCCGATGCCTATACTGGATGGTCACATTGGTGGAGTGTGGAGGATTGGTTTGATCTGATGGGCTGTGACTCCCAAAGGGAAAGAGATGAACTATTGGCCTTCCAATATGGAGGAGATGAGGCATTGACGCATTGGAGGAGTAAAACAGCCGGTATGAGGTTTGTGGCATGTACGCATTGAGATTTGGCACCCAGCCGTGCATCCCAGGCCGTGGCCGTGTGTATCCCACAATCTTGGAAATTTCCCAACAATACCGTCCGTGTTCCACGTTCTGCCCGTAGCCTCTTTCGCCTGTTGATCCTTTCGAGAGTTAACTTATGTGGACTCCCGCAGTCCTGATCATTCGCAGAAGCTTTAAGGAGCCTTTCCAAGGGTTGAGCGGGCGCTGCAAGACGAACCTCGGCGTTCTTCGGCTGCTTTCGGCTGTGTGTGTGGAGTGCGGCGCGTTGCGCAGAAAAAAAACGGATGAGGCGTTTTGGGCGTGGAGTTTTCACGTGTCTAACCCGAGTTGGTGGAACATCAAGGGTCACCGGTCAACGAACTTTCCCAATGGACTTCCTGGTGGGTTGTGCTTGGAGAATAAATCCGTGGGTCCGTGAGTGAGTCTGAAGAGTTCGCTGTGTGAAAGGGGTCAGGGATCATCTGCCCGCGAGATGTGTTTCTATAAGTTGTGTAAGCTCTTGATATGTATACCCAAACGCTCCAAACAGCCCTTGGTCCCGCAAATCATAGGGATTTGAGACCCCAGACCCCTCCATATGAGGGTCCGACCGCTCCATATGAGGGTCCATGAGCATTGGGTAGCTCAAAGAATCTTTAAACACCTATTTGCCTATATATATATATATTTAGCCTTCCGATGTTGATGTATCCAGGATCCCATGCTCAGGTAGGAACTCACATTCCCAACCACGTATATAAACCGCCCAAACGCTCGAATACTCCGGATCCTTGGTGGATAGTCAGTCGATGTCAGTCGTATGTGACTCACAGGCTTCTTTGCATGAGTCTTATTGAGACTTGATTTGCTTGACTGCAAAATAACTGAAAACCTCAGAGTGAGCCCGTGAAACCACCTGACTCTAAATAATCACTCTTGCACGCCTTGAATCTTCAATCCTCCCGGCAAGTGCCAGTAGTCGAGCTGGTTTACATGGGATCTGCTGTCTGCTCCTACAAAGAGCCGCAGGAGTTCAATGACAAACAGTGAGGAGTTAATCTGGCCTTCCTGCTTCTCCGAAACCGCTTCGAAGTTGTCCGCTCAACCACCATTTGCTAGTCAGTGATGCTTGGGGCAAGTCGAGCGAGTCGAGTGAGAAAGACAGCCAAAAAGACTGAGAACATAAGCATGATGAAATGGCCCGCTTCGCGTGTGGCTCTTAACATCCAATTCCGCCAAACGACCTCACCTGATAAAGGATTTGACATTTGACTATAGTGATGAGTCATGTCTAGTCTGCCGACTAAAAACACTGTTTGATCTCCGCCCAATGGCGCCCAACGGGAGATACGGGAGGCCGGGCGCTTGTCGGAGCGCATCGGTGGAGAGTTGAAGACCATGATGCCTCCTGGCCCCAAGGAGGTTCCCAGTCAGATCTCTGATGTCGGTGCAAACCTCTACCAGTAGAGACCTCCAGTTCCCTCAAGAAGAGGTCAAGTTTCGGAGGTTCCCTCTACCCCTGGCGCCAGTACCCAACTTTTTCGCCCGTGGACCGACACGTCGTTGTCCACCGACTCGGTGGCGTCCGGAGGTCTACGGAGGTCTACGGAGGTGTAGGGCCGAAACCAATTGGTTGGGAGGTCCGGAGGTCCGGAGGTCTCCCCTATTTATTCACCCAGATGGATCCATATGGATCCATGGTGCAGGACAAGCCATCACGATGAATGGCTGAAGAGCCGACGCGAAACCGAACATGGGGCGAGCCACATCAATCAACGCTTCCTGTGGCAATTGGTTGAGACCCACACATACCCACACTGCAGAACACCCAATATCTAAAGCATATTGCCGATATTTGCCGATACTCCTACTGTACAGTAGGTTTTGAGCGTCTGGTCTTTTGAAAACTCGTTCCATCGAAACCCAATGGCTGGTTCGACTGAGTTCCATCGTGCTAAACATCTATGGCGACCTGCTCCACCGCCGGCTCCGCTTGGAACTCAGGAACCATATCCCAGAGGCTCGACTCATGGATGGACCCAAAACCAACTGCTACATGATTGAAACTGCTACATGTTTGAGGTCCAAGACCCTAGCGGTGAGGGTCAAAACCCTACAGTAGCTATGAGCCTTGGTATGGTCCAAATTCGCTTGTCCGCACATTTTCCCACCAAACCCATGCTAGAACACTTGGCGGAAACATGTCGAACATCACATCCACAAAACATCTAGTACCAGTACCAATCTCGTGATCTTTTCATCGGGATGTTTTGGAGCAGTATGTCAGCTTGGTTGCCGTTCGGACTCCATCCCAAAACAATGTCTCAAACAACATGGTGCTCCATCGCGACCGAACCGACCAACTCTGGTCGGGCGAACAATCTGCCAAGCCCATAGAAGGCCTGGCCGGCCACTAGATTTGTGGCATTGAAGTGTACTTGCCCGGAGGTTGGTTAGCTTCGACTGCTCAGCTTAGCTAACCACCCAGTTAACCAGTTAAGCTTAGCTGCCCGGAGGTTGGAGTTAACCCGTAAACGGTATGCATCATCCATGCTGTACTCCCTGCAAGGAGGGGTTTACCATCAGCTTCGATCCTGAAGCGCAAAACCTAGACGTACTTAGTTGTCTGCTGGGTTGCTTGAAGACGTACTGCCAATACTGACAAGACTTGTTCTTTCACAAGCACATCTTAATGAACTTTAATGAAGGGCGGTATCCTCCTACTGAGAGTTGGGTACTTCAAACATATCATACGTAGCTGGCAGGTCAATCTGGACCATGCAAAGGACAAACATGCCCAATTAAATCATGCATGCACCATCATGCACCAAGCAGAACAGATCCCATCCAGCTATCGCACAAAAATCCCGAGCGGAGACTCCCTGGAAAACCTTGTTCCACCCATCCCCAAGAAAGGTCTTGCAGGTGATGCATGGACTTCCTGGGTTAGCTTTAGGATTGGTTAGAAGTTAGAAGGTCTTGATGGTCTCGACTGTCAAAACTTCAATCTACGCAATCCGTGATGTGAGCGCTGAGGTCACCAGGGCGATCGAACATGAACACAAACATGGTGACAGTATGGCAGCAAAACACGGAACCTGAAAATACAAACTGCATGGAAGAACACGGGGTCCGCAGGTTTATATTCAGTATTTTGCTCATGTTCCTGTTGCATGTAGCCATATCTTGTGCACAACATCCACAGTCATCCGCGAGTCATGTCACTTCCTCCCAGTGCGGCCCGGGGCCCGGCCTGCTGCCATGCACGGGCAATGGCGCAATTGCCTGGCAAATGGGCGGTGGGCTGTGGAAAACCACGCTCTGATCCAGTTCCGTGATCTGATATGATTGAAATTTAAAGTTTAACCCTCCCATGCGTTCCAGATCTGTTGAGAACAAGTAATTCCTCCTCCTGGACCTCACTGTTGCATGATGTTTGGGTGATCTTTTAGGGCTGGCTGAATCTCACGCGATCAGGTGATCACGTAACTCCTTTTGGATCGATCCGAGTGTGAGTTGGAGTGGAATGAGTATCACACCTTACAGCTCTGAAGACCCAGTAAAACCTAATCCTTTACTTCATTGAGTAATATGTTGTATGACCAAGTCCAGTAAAGGATTAGTATGATCAATCAATAAGTAAAGGATTAGGTTTAGTAATAAGTTTTCGATTTGTATGATCAATCTCCATCGACCTCTGACCTCTTCCAGTCATTCCTATGTGGCTGTGGGTCATGGCACCAGTCGACCAGGATCACTCTCCGACCGGGCACGACCGGACCGATGTGGCTGGTGTCGGGGAAGCAAGGCGAACAGCGAGCGACATCGGCACGACCGTCACTCGGCTCCGGACCTATACACTCCATGGGACTGCCAGGACGGACTGCCGCCCCAGAAAGACTCCCCCAAAACCACCCAGCATCGGCAGTCCGGCATCAGCAGTCCCACGTGTCGTGTCTGGGAAGACTTGGACCCATCTACCGACATCCATCTCCCTTCCCAAGGTCCCAAGCTGTCCCCCACATCTGACCAAAAGCACCTGCGGCGGCAAACCAGGTCTCCGTCGTGCCCCTGAAGAGGCGGCTGGTGTGTAAGATGCGCGGCTCCAGGGAGCCATCGATAGATTTAGTAGACATTTATTGGGAGGAAATGGTGATTAGATGTGATTATAGGTTAAGACTAAATTAAATGAACGTATAGTGTGCTTTTTGTCAGAAGTGTCAGCACAAGGTGAGCAAGTGCCGCCCATGGAAACGGGTTCCATTGTTCCTCGTGGAAACTGAGTTTCTGCGTCACTGCGTCAAGAGGATTTGCATGATTGTTCCAGTTACTGTCGCAGCCCCCCTAAATCCAAAGACCACGGTTACTGCAGCAAAACCAATTTGTCTCATGATGAAGAACTAGCTTGGACCCATGTAGATGACAAACCTCTGGTTGCCTGGTTGAGCTGTGGTCATGAGTCCTGTTCCAATAAATCTGAAGCATGGTCCTGGTTTGCCTGACCTGTCTGTTGTAGTTGTTATTGAGCCTTCTTTGTTCGAGGAGTTCATCTAACTATTCACAAATGTGGTTGTGATTGTGGTTGTTGTTGTGGTTGCTGTTGTTGTGGTGGTGGTGGTGGCGGTTGCGGTTGCGGTTGCTGCTGCCGCTGCTGTTGTTGCTGTTGTTGTTGTTGTTGCTGTTGCTGCTGCTGCTGCTGTTGCTGTTGCTGTTGCTGCTGCTGGTGTTGTTGTTGTTGTTGTTGTTGGAACAAAACAGCCGCCCAACATAGCGCTCACATCTTGCAACTCTGGAACTTCAAAGGGACAACGTTAGGGACGTGGTTGAAGGTTGAGGGAATGTTGATGTTTATAAGCCGATGGACTTGTTTTATATTGTTTCACTTAAATCTGTGTTGGTCTGTTTTTTGTGCTTTTTGTTCGGGGTAGGGTGTCAAAAACAAGGTACGGCGCCTCTTGTGCGGCCCGGCACAGAGGCTTTTTGTTCGGAAATTGAAACCTTTTCGTTTGAGACTGACAGTTTTAGGCTGTTTTGGACAAAGTTAGGCTGATCCGGGGGGAGGTGCTTTTTTGGACTCCGATGCATGGTTACTCGCCCGACCGTAGCCATCCTTCGATCGTGACTCCAAGCTCGAGAAAGCTCGATCTGATCGCACTGGCAAATCAGCACATGCCATCGGCCAGAAGTGGTCACTAGCAGATGTTTCAACACCCGGGCCTCTCGGCCTCTTTTTTACCACCGGGGCCTCCCGTTGACCGTTTCTTCAAGTGCATTCATCTTCGGCCCGGCAGTGACCTTGCCTCTCTTTTTCGTGTACTGGTTCTTACTATGGACTTGCGAACATCTCAACCGGTTAGAACTTCTTCCTGTGACTGCTGACAATCCACCTGCACCATCCTTGCTGATGGCTGCTCCTGAATTGGCAACTCCAACAAGCCACTGTAACATGTTCCTCTGTTCTTGACGGGATGCATCACGTCACCTAGCCGCACAAAACCCACCAAGTATATTGGTGTCTTCAACGCTCTGTTTCTCTTCAACCAAGCTTGTGTCTCTGCCTCTCTGTATCATCTTTCATGGACGTGTAGTGCTTACCCAGACCTGTGCCAACCCCCTTACATATACCCAAACAAATTGCATCAGTTGATCTTAAGAAGAAAGCATAAGATCCACTGGAACAAGTCGGAATCACTGTCGGAATTCGTCGCTGGGATCAGTTCGTGACAACTCACTTTCACTCTCACTGAAACCTTGAAACCTCCTTCAACATCGATGCCACCACCTCCAACGGTTTATCCCGCAGCCTCGGCCAGCCACGCGCCAGCCATAAGGCTTGTTCCCATTGGACACCTGCGAGCATCGAGTCTAAGAGGTGGTCGCAAACAGGGGTGTCGTTTCCCTGGACCTGACGTCGCTCATACCCGAGAAAAGTGAGGTCACGTCCCGAAGAACAAAAAAGGTTCCAACAAACCCATTTTCCGGTGCGAACCAGTCGACTCTACGGGGCAAAAGAACTCAGTCTCGCAGGCGCGAGATGTTGAGGTCATGTGGGCCCCCAATGGCCACAACAACATGGCCAGGATTGGTCTTGTTTCCGTGGGAAAATACCGCCAAACATAATTCCTCCAATATGAACTCGCATGAACACATAGGCACGGTGTTACTCACTTTTACTCCTTGATGACTGAGAGTGTGTGACAATGTGGCACAAAGCAAATGAGCATTGTCATGTTCCCAAAAGGTGATCACTCTCAAAATGAACCCAATTGAGCTGACTCACAAGTGTTGATTTACACATACTACTTTCCTACTGGTATGTATGCATGTCTATAATGGGACCCTAAACTTGCGAGGCACACATAGCACAAAGGCATAACATGAGAGAGACATGAGAAGAACATAACAACATAGTTTACCTCAGTAGGGATCACAAGTCATTGAACCAAGCCCATCCAACATGCTAATATCCAGAACATTCCCGAACTTAAAAGCCAAAAGGGCCAACACCTTTGAAACAGAGTTCCTCAGGATCGCTCTAGTTCCGTCGTTCCGAACACCACGAGACCAACGACAGCCTCGTTCCAACCAGCCTCGTCGGAGACTTTGCACCAACTCCGGGCCCAGTGGCGAGCGTTGTGAGTCGAGCGCCAGTTGTGGCACTTCGATGCCTGGTGGGACGCGGAACCCGAAGGCGTCGGATCTGTCGTTCCTTTCGCTGAACCCGATCGCGGAAGGGTTCTAGTACGGGATGTACGTCTATTGAAAAAGGTGAAGCGAAGCTGCCTGAACTTTCCACCTTTTCGCTGCCTGAACTTGTCCCCAATCCCTCCAATTCTTGCGTAGCCACCGGATGGCCGATGGAGGAGGTTGGAGGAATTGCGTGGCTTGGGAAATTTTCTCTGGTTGAAGAGTGGAAAAACATGGAATTTTCCGCCCTGTCTGCTGAGACTGCGGCGTGAACATCAACCATCAAGCAGTGATACATGAATGCCAACTTGGAGCAAAAAACCTAACAGGTATATACTGAGGGAAAGCATTCATTGACATGCTCAAAATCACCCATGCTTGCACTGTCTTGGAAACACCAAGTCTGGATCAAGGAAGAAAGTGCAGTGGTGGGCATTTGCTAATTAGATCTAATTAGAATATGGATGAATATGGCATGTGCCCGTGGCTACCTCGTTTTGCTGCTTTCTTTGTGGCTCGAAACACCTGGAGTCTCTTGGTCACCCTTGCGAGATCGACTATGTCTTCGGACGACAAACGCACGACGTGGCGCCGTGGCGCCAAGCATGCCTTCCACATTCCCAGCCACTTACCCAAGGGATCCACGCCACCTTCTTAGAAGGTACGACTGGGCCCTCCTGGCCTACATAACAGTGTCTCCAATCACCGTACCTCAGAAGCTTTGTGATCCATGGGGTTGGTGGAAGACTCTTCTTTCGGACGTTGTGGACGACAGCCCTTAGATCACAGCCCTTATAGGCTTTTCCCAAGCATCGGAGTTCAAACACCTCCTCAAGTGAAGTGCACATGGAGACTATTATATTATATAAGGCGATGATGCTGGATTCTTGAGTCCTTGCTACCAGCTGCAGGATTTCTTGCTTGAGACCGGCAAACCAAGGCCTTGCCCGAGCTCCC